AGTACTTTCTTGTCGTTGAAGAAAACTGGTAGTATTGTCATTACTGCTTCATTAGTCGCACATGGAACCAATAAATCTGCACCAGCTCTTCCATATCAGGCTACTAAAAGTGCTCTTAGAGGAGTCGTAAGAGGTTTAGCTTCCGAATTTGGTCCTCAAGGAATTAGAGTCAATTCCATTTCTCCTGGTTATGTTAATACTGCCTTGACTCAGTATAAATTGGATGATAAATTCTCAATCTGGGGTGGAATCCCACGAATAGGAGAACCAAGGGAATTAGCTGGTGCTTATGTCTATTTGTTGTCTGACGCAGCTTCTTATACATCGGGAGAAGATATAAGGGTTCATGGAAGCGTTGATGCTTGGTGAAGGTTAAAACAAGCAATATTAGTTTTGTTATTTTTTATTTCCACATAGTTATACATAGCAACAAGTAACTATATTAGCAGAGGGCATAAATTATGATACGTAGACAGTGTAACCTTGTCAGGTAATAAAAGATATATCAGGAGCCTGAGGGGAAGATAAATAAGGGAAAAAACTAATCATTGACGGAGTTTTTGTGACAGCGCCTCATTATCTCAATTTAAGCATGTATCATAATAGCTATTCTGCTGCAAATTACCGGATATGGAAACATGTCATTTATTAAGCAAACCCCTAATAGGAAAAGACGATGCAGCAGGTAATAAAAAGTCCCTAGATATCATAAGTGAAACCAATATTCATGCCACAACTCCTCCGCTCCCAATTGTTAGCGAATAAAAGATACAGCTTAATCTTTGTCACTGATGCAGTGCTCAAATAACGCCTGCCTAAAACCTATGTGTAATTCGATTAGTCCAAAGGTTTATTTGTTGACTCCATTTCTTCTTTTTTACGATCATTTGTTGAATCTCAGAGTACAGAGCTACGAAGAAAATTTTAACAGATATTAGATTCTACAAATACGTACAAATTGCATGAGCAATTACAAACAGAGCAGTCTCCACTATATATGATAATTGAATAGTTAACTTTTTAGATCCATATCTCTAAATCAGACTAAATTTTTAATCATAAACAATATATATATTTTAATGAACTTTCTGAAAAGAAATTCTTGTTCAACTTAAGAGCATTACTTGAAAACCTAAACCCATAACATTAATGTGAACTGCGCGTATTTACCATTTTGAATAATTAAAGTTTGATTCATTATTAGAAGTTCTACGTTTAATGAAATATCAATTGTGTTAACTAAGTCCATATTTCTAGAACTAAATCCAACATAGATTTTATAGGTATCACGCTGAACGATCCAAGATTATGTTACCGCATCCCAGATAGATAAATCCTTTCTAGTGGTAGCAAAACCAAATTCATATCTTGGAATAAGATTATGAAAATCATAATACCTTTAATCCAAAAAAATAGAACGAGTAAAATCATCTTGAGGATTATACGATGTAGCATTGTATATGACCGGAACATATTCCAGGTCGTCTTTTGCTATTGTGAAAGGTATTTACCAGATGGATTATAATCACCAAATAATACACTTGTAAATGCTGAGCCTGTTTCTTGTCCTAATCGAAGTCTTATATACTTGATGGCAAGATTGTGAATCAGGACCCTGTTGATGAAGATGCGGAGGAACCTGATATTCCAATTTAAAATTATCACTAAGGTGTTCATAGTGAAAACTAAAGATGTCGCTTAAATACTAAAATTTGTTTATTACTGTCATCTGAAGAACATTCAGAATGAAAATTCATGATTTACGACTATTTTCACTTTTATGCAAAATGTGGAGACATATGCAACTCCCCTCCTCCACCATTTCTTGTGTACGAGAGAAAAATGGGATAGATATATTTTCCATATATCTCAAAAACGACATAGGATACTGTAGCCGTAAGGAAGAATTTCAAATTGTACCCATATATGATAGGAGAATAGTCATTAGAATTCTTTTAATTCAAGAAAACTTATGGAACACCTCCATTACTTATATATAACAAGTATCCTTACTGCTTTCTTATGATATTTTCTTTTATTGCAGTGATTAATCACCTAGTTCCCAATTTTAGAAAGGAAATGATATTAATTTCATGTTTGCCATCTTTACTAGACTTAAGAGGAACATATATTCCCTTCTTGATTCATTATTGATTTAATAACCGATATCATTAGTATGCCCTATCAAATATTTTGTGAGGAGATTGTGCCAGGATCTGGCTCAAGTAATTTTTGTCATAAATGTTCCTCAAAAGTGATTTGACGACTTCTTTATTTTCCATATTCCACTATTTTAGCGGAAATTCTGTTTCTCAAAATTCATATATATTCTTTCGATAACCAGAAACATTCCAATAGCCAGCAATGAAGAGCTTTCGAACATTAGAGACAAGCCATTTTTTGCGGTTAGTTAACAAACAAGTCATTCCCTTCTCTTAACCTGTAAATAATATGTGACAGGCACTGTATGGGAATTTCAAATTATAATTTTATTTTTGGTGTGTCACTGGTAATTCGACTACAAAGGCTAACTTGAATTTTATTTAAGTCTTCACTATCAGGGTTTTTGCTGATTGGGTCCAGTCCGTTTAAAATTTGTTCCTTACAGATAATTCATAGAAGACCTATAAAGTTTTCTAAAAGTTCTTTAAAATTCATTCAATCATTTATGATTCCAAACAAAGCACTATTCTTAATTAATCTATATACGGGCTTAAATATTTAATTATTAACATATTAGATTTTTTTTGACGATTTTTATCCCAGTATATAAGAACATTGGTAATCGCTAAGTATACATAAAACAATTATATTTTAATATCTTTTGAAGTATTTCCTAATTAAAGTTCACAATACTTCGGTCAGAATAATAACCTTCATAGAGCAATACCAGTTTCCTATTAAACTTATAACTGTCAGTTCTTCTAACCTCGCAAATGAATACTCAGAGTCTAATACTTGGCCAAAAAATGTAATATTCTCTTTTTCCTTTACGATGTTGAGATTAATAACAAATGTGAATAGCAATCTCAAAAGTATAAAAGAGAGTCAAAAAAAATTTCTCTGTTATATTTCCTACTTCTGAGATATTTCTTGATCTTTTGATTCTATTTCATCGATCTCGTGCAGATTCTTAGGCGAGTTTTCAAGTTGCGTTCGGTCAAATCTATCACCCATATAGCCTAAAATGGGCAAAAATAACATTACTATTGCACCAACTAAAGATACTATAAAACCCTTTCTGAATTTTGGAGCATCACTTGTAGGATAGAATACAATATTTGTCCAAACATTTATTGCTTGAGATACTGCATCCGAAAAACCAAGAACAAACGCTCTCTCTTCATTATCATGTCTACAACTTCTGTTTGCCCATCCTGAGATAATAGCTTGATTTACTCCATCAAAACCAATAATTAAAAAACAAACCCATCTCCAACCATCAGGTATATTCCATGCTGCAAGGGAAGAATAAGAAATTATAAAAAGACACTGGGTTATAGTCAAAAAAGGATAAATAGAGAATGTATCAGCAAGTCCTGCAAGCAAAAATTGTGCAACAATCCCAATAGCAGATTGAATAGTTGGATAATTATTAACTTGGGAAATTGAAAATCTCTCAGGAGAATTTGCCAGTAACCATAATGGGAATGCGGTGCCATCGGGTAAAGCTAAAACGTTTAAGAATACCCAAAAAGTAGTAAAAAAGTGGACGTGCCATCTTAAAAATACCCTCTTCACTAGACTAAAATTCAATGTACCTGGCTTTGCAATTCCTGAAGCTTGAGTCCTCTCTTTAGCGAGACGTAATTCTTCGGCTGGAAGCCACCATAACTTCTCAATCTGGTAAGGTGCCCCTGGAAAAATAAAAAAACCAAACAAAGCAATAGGTACAGTAAAAATACCATCAATAATGAACCCCCATTGCCACCCTGCTAATCCGCCTTTTCCACTTAAATTTTCATAGGCTGCTGATTGTAAATATCCGGAAAACATACCACCTAAACTAGATGAAATTGAAAACACCATTACCCTACGGTAAATCTCATCCCTTTTGTACCAAGATCCCAAAATATGTACGACAGTACAGAATATAGGTCCTTCTGCTAACCCAATTAAAAATCTCAAGGCAAACATATCACTGGAAGTCCTGACAGCTGCCCCACAAAAAGTCAAGACACCCCAAATTAATTCTAAAGAAGGAAGCATGTAACGAGCCCAAGGCCTCGTGACAAATAACATTCCAAAACACATAGAAATTATATATCCAGCGGAATACAATGATTTTGCATAACTCAAGTCATCACCAGTAAATTCAATATCATTTTTCATTCCAGATACATATGCATTAGTAATATTCGATTTGTCTAATGATTTTGTAAAATATGAGCAACAGACATAAGTAAGAATACAAAAATCCAACTTTAATAGTAAATTCTTCTCGTCTTTATCTAAATATGAAGGATACCATAAAAATAGACGAACAAAGCCATCATACCAATGATTTATTATTCTTCTTTCTTCTTCGTCAGCTTTAACTTCACTGTCATTAGATGTGTTTAGAGAAGTATTTAAGATACCATTCTCATAACCCAAACTTCCTCGTTTATGTGATACTTCAGTCTCAACTTGGTCCTTCTCTATACTATTTTGAATACTATTTTGTTCCTTCATGTCTTGCATACTTCTTGAACAATATATTTTGATTATATTCAGAAAATAGAATTTATACTTACAATAAATTGTGCTTTCTCCCTTGACGGAAAAATTTTCAGTGGCTTTAAAAGCACACAATTTTGACGTGAAATATTTCTTTTCAAACGCTTATCACATAAGATTTATATTTCAATCAAAACTGTGGCTCGATTTTTCTCGCATTCTATTGTTCTCTAAAATTTCCAGGATGAGATAATTAAGATTAGCTATCTATGAGAACAATTTTGAAGCACCAATATGCAGAATATACAGAATGGCTTGTTCTATTTTTAGTTATTGCCATTCAGCCTTTTATAGTTAGGTAAATAATAGGAGGTATTCTTATTAAATAGGGCTTTTAGTAGCTGAACAGATAATATTCAAAAAATCGACAAAAAAGGGTACAAAACCTATAAATGAATTATATGTACGCTCTTCTTAGAAACGAATGTGAATACCTGATTGATTTGTTCCTTGTAGATGATACTGTCAAACTGTACCAATTTGACTTAATCCAGCTACGATGAAACGAGATATTATAGAAACTTTCTAATGGTATATTTTGCAGACGAATATATCAAGGAAAAGTTCTTGAAAGCCGTATTTAATTCGTTTATGCTTCAGAATGACAGGCCTGTGCAACTGCGGACCAAAATTATCAAACTACAACCTTCTTTTTTGAAAGTGAACTGGTAAATCTTTTTGGGGACCTATATCAAAAGGATCCCCATCAATATGAAAAATATTTAGCGCCAACCTTTCAATCCAAACAATATTTCAGCAACTTTTCTTCGTGCTTCACGATGGTTTCCCATATTCAACAAGCACAACTCAATATACTGGAGATGTTGTTTAAAATTTAACACTCAACTTAGGTCAATCACTGTTAGATTGTGTCAAAAACTGGTACTTTTGGGTGATGCTTTAATTGGAATTTAGCCTCAAGTTCTCTAAAATCAAATAATTTTAAATTGAAAAGGGTGTTTATTTTCGCGAAAATCATCAAAACGATTAGAAGAAATGTCGCTTTTTGTCTTTAGACATGGGAGAATCGAATGTTAATAATTCCAAAACAAGATGAGTATCTGTTTCTCTATATACATACATTGTAGAGATATCTATCCCAAGTTACCCACTGCTGCGAAATTTGTGGGAGTAGAAGAAGAATAAATCTTAATTCTTTCATAGCACTAATTTACAAAAAGAAGGATCTATTGAACATTTCCTCGTCCACTCAAAGTAAATGAGATATTCAACCGTTATTCTTAAAAATGAGGTTCTTAGATTAGGGAGATCTCAAATTTTATGGTTTTGTATGTAACAAGGAATGATTATACATATATATCCGTGTTCTGCATCACGTGAATATCTTTCTGATTGATATGACCATGGAGGCATATAAAGCAATTGAACCGGATAATCCTAAGCTTTAACATTTCAGTAGTTCACATAAAAAATATGTAAAATAAAATTTCTTTCGGAGTTATTGAAAACAAGCGTATTATTGTGTAGCGGAAAACTGAAAATTGTAGTCAAAGGTCTCAAGAGAGGTATGTATCTTTTGAACTTGGGATAAATAGTTCAGTTTTTCTTGTGATTTTTCCGCTGTTAAATAAATATACAACGGCTTCAAAGTTTTGAATATCAGCTAGTCTACTTTTTTTTGCAAACTGGATCTAAACTAAGTGATATGAAAAACATAAACTGAGAAAAACAAATAAACCTTAGAGCCCAACATTTCATTACTGGTAGTGAATGCTTAGGAAGTTTTGTTCAATTATTCCATATATATAGCCTTTTCTTTCGATGTGCTACATTTACCCTAAATGGCCATATGTTAATGAAAAGATTCAGATCATAAAAGAGATTTATTAATAAATTAGATGGTTTATTAAGTAATGCTATCGAAATTCAATGATCTATAATAGCTTGTAGTCATATCCTTTCCTAAAAATTAGTATGAAAGTAATTATCAACCAGGAATTCTTAAAAGAATAGTAAGATTTATCGACACGGTATCCTCTTATGAGGATGAAGTTGAAACTAAGAGTTTTGTAAGAAGCTTTATCTATTGAACTAGTAATTCAAAATATGATGTATCTGGTCTTGACTTACGCCTACATTTTTAATCCTTCCTAATTACGGACTAATTTTCTGACTCTTTGATATAAGGGGTTTTTTTTCTTCTTTCAATTTGCTGAGTCCTTTATGACATTATAAATAGGTATTAAAAACATACATTCAAATAAACAGGTACATCGAGGTTAATATTGGAAATTAAAGACAAATTGTGGATTCGCAATTTTTTCAAATACATGAATATATTTAAGCACGTTAAATTATTTCCCTCACAACCGACTAGGTGATAGTGTAATTGTTTCACCTAGATATCCTAGATATCTAAGAGATGCAAATTCAAATGGATACGGAGACTAGTACATATAAATCAGAGACAAATATCAGTGATTTAATATCACATGTTAAAACAATTCTTAATTGTGTTGAAAACTTTTTGCAAAGCCGAAATTACAAAAAAAATATCTTCCACACTGAGCGGATGGCATCCTCAATTTAGTTGTAATGTAAGGTGAAGGGATACAGAACAAAAAAAATTGGACAAGTCCTGTTTGTTTTCAATTCAAAACTTTTATTGAAAGATAATCTTCTACTTTTATATAAGGAGTTATGGTCAGCTTTTGTAAATTAAGACTTTACCTAAACATAATGAGGATTCAAATACAGGCCTAAACTTTTCAGTTGAGTATTTTTGATTTTAGCAGCTTGTAAGAAAAAGAGAGGTGAAATTCTTGTTTAATATGTATACGGTGACTAACATGTCTGACACCCATAACTATGTAGATGAAAATCCTAATATACCTTGGCTTAATGTTGCTTCTCTAACGTTTAATAAATTTTTACCATATTCATCTTGAATTATATTCAAAGAATAATTATTGAACTCACCAAAATTGAGACAGATTATATCTTGTTTTAAAACTTTCAGTATAAATAAACCATTTGATAATCATTTCTCTCTATATCATCATGAGTATGTACACGATAATTATTTTGTCAAGAGAGCTCTTGGTTTCTCCACACACTTGCTGAAGCTTTGGACTACTAAAGACGAGTTTCAATCTTCAAACTGTTTGCAGCTATTCGGTTAAAAAAAAGGCGGCGATGAAAAATTGAACGTTAGCAATGCTTCATAATTATTATTTTAGGGAAGGTATTGCAAGATAAATCATATTTTTTCTTGTTTGCATGCATTCATGTATATCAGCAACTAATTTGTTGATATTTTGCTAAATTACTTTGAAAAGTAGGACTTATAGCTATTGAAACACGTACTCAGGAACGGATTACTATATTGGGTAGAGGAGAATATCTGTAAATCAAAGATTTGCCAATAGCGAGCGTTGTAAATGCACCTAATAAATCAATTTCCCCCACAAATTAGACGCGGGGAACAAGGCAATCTACAATTGCAGAGCGCTTGAAATTGCTGCATGTTAAACTACCGGCATGGTCTATAAATTCAGATAATGATGAAACTTAAAGAATTATTATACTTTCTCAGAATTATGGACAAATTCATTCTGCTCAACAAGATTCTTTATAGCATCATCTCCTAATTTAAGAATATAACTATCGGCATCAAAAACAGTCGCTTCTGTATGTTTGAAGTCTCTTGACTTGATATGATGATGGAAAAGGTAATCAATATCTGCAAAGGTCTTACCTTTAGTTTCTGGTAACTCAAAATAGCACCATAATGCACAAGCAATGGTGAATCCTGACCAAAAAAAACCAACCTTTGCCAGCCAGTTCCAAGCTCCTGGATTAAGCATATAAGGTGTTAGAACACTTAATATAATCCCAGAAACATTGTAGAGATTTCTAGCAATAATAATACTCTTTGCACGAAGACGAACAGACGGTATTTCAGCAACTATACAATAACATAACGGTCCAACAGTCAAGTCGTAGACCATAACGTAAATAATCAAAAGGGTGCCAACACCCCACATAGCATTTTTATCTGTTGAACAGCCAAGTCCTCCTATAACCATCAATAATACAGATAAAACACAGAGCCCTCCAAAATAAATTGTAAAGCGACCAAATCTCTTAGACAAAAACCAAGATCCAATAGTACCTACAATACCAAGGGCGAATTGTATAATCGTAAAAGTGAATGACATCTCTGTAGGCATGCCTGCTTGAATATAGAAATAACTTGAATAGCTCAAGAGAGTGGCGCCACATAGATTCTGAGTTAACCAAGTCAATGCTGCAATTCTTGTCCGGCGAAAGTTCACCCCTTGAAAACATTCCAAATAAGAGGGTGACTTCTCCTTTTGCAGCTCACCTTTAACTGTCATTTGCATTTTATGTAACATCGCTTCAGAAAGCATATTTTTGTCAACGTTGTGATTTTCTGTAATAAGTCTCTCGATCGACCTCTTGGCCTCTTTATATCTATCATTCTTAACTAACCAGTAAGGTGATTCAGGTGCAAGGAAAACACCAATAATAATTGGAATTGGCCATGCCCACTGAATAGCAAACGGCACCCTATAGGATTGTTCTGAAGTACTAGAAACAAATGCTCGCATTACACCTGCTGAAAGCAATTGTCCGAAAATCCAACATACATTCGCATAAGTTGTCAAATAAACCCTCAACACCATAGGACATACCTCAGAGGCATATGCAACTGATAGTGTCTGAAATGCACCCCAAGGGAAGCCTAGTAAAATGTTACCTGCCATCAACATACCAATATTCTTAGCGAAGAAAACAATAAAAATAAAAGCAGCAACTAAGATTAAATTAGCAATTATAGTTTTTCTGTATCCAAATTTATCTGCAAGAATACCAGCAAACCAGAGACCAAGTATAGAACAA